TTTAATGCAATCCCAATACAAATACCAATCCCGTTCTTCAAGGATATGGAAAAGGCAATCTCCAGTTTCATATGGAATGGAAAGAAGCCCCGAATAAGCAAAGCATTCCTTAAAAAAATAGAAGAAAGGTAGGAGGTAGCTCACTCCCTGCTTTCAAATCCAACTACACTGCCGTGGTGGTTAAGACAGCGTGGTACAATGACAGATACATAGATCAATGGAATAGAATTGAGAACCCAGAGATCAGCTCTTTTCAATTGCTTTCTGTGCATCTGAATATTGGACAATGGATAAGATGACGAAGAATCAATGTTTTTGAATTGTGGTGCTGGAGAAGAGTATTGAATGTCTCATGGGCTGTCAAAGAACAGACAAGCCTTTTCTAGAGGAAGTGCAACCACAATGCTCATATATGTCATCTCACATGGTTTGACCATGTTGTCCAGATGGACCAGTCCTTGGAAAAAGACATAATGCTGGGAAAAGTGGAGGGTCAGAGAAAGAGAGAAAGACCCTTCACAAGATAAAATTAACACAGTGACTGTAGCAATGGGCTTGAGCATGACAGAGATCATGATAGAGGACGGTTCTGACCTTCTGTTCCTGTACTAGTTGACTCCATGGCATCTAACATCAACGCTGTGCGTGTGTCTGTGTGTGTGTCTGTGTGTGTGTTTATAACTATGTTTTCAAGGGATATAATCTGCATGGCACAAACAGTTAAGCACTACACTACTAAACAAAAGCTTGGTGCTTCAGACACACCCATTAGTGCATTAGAAGACAGGCTTGATGATGTTCTTCTGCAAGGTCACAGCCTTGGAAAGACTATGGGACAGTTCTGCTCTACACACATGGGGTTGCCATGAGTCAGAGATGACTCAATGACAACTAAAAACTGTTGTTGTTTTTGATTGCCATCGAGTTGAGCACATCTCATAGTGACCCTATGAACAAGAGGTCTGAAGCCTCTCTATAGCTACCAACAATTATTAAAGTTTGACCTGTTTAGGAAGTGGATGCCACACCTGCTTCCAACTAACAGCTAGTCTTATGGAAATAAGTTTCCAGGCCTTTCTTCTGTGATGCTGCTGGGTGGATTTGAAATGACCCCCTTTTGTTTAGTACTTGAGTGCTAGCTGTTTGCACCACTTCAGCAAGTTCACTAAACATCTTTAAAAAAATGCAAAGTCAGAAGAGTGAATTGGGGGAGAGGGGGTGGGCAGGGAGAAAAGTGCAACAATGAATGAATGGAAACCCTAAGTCTCTGTAAACTTTCATTAAAATTAATTAAAAAAAAATACAAACCCAATAAAAAGCCTTTACTTTGTTTTGACCATGTAAAAATGGTCTTTTATTTGCTGCGTTTTTGTCCCTCTTTTTCATACCGGTCCCACCCTATCCACTTTTTCATCTCTCCTCCATCAATATTTGGTAATTCTTGCTTTATTTGTGGATGAATGTGTATAATGAAAAGTATCAATAACTAATGAGTGTTTTCTCAGTGTAATCAAGATTCTTGACTTTTAACCTGATAGTGAATTTATTTTTTTAAATTTGCTATTTATTTTATTTTTTTAATTATATACTAGTTTAATTACAAAATTAGAATATATTGTTTTTCAGATCAGATTCTTCCAATTTCCCTCACCCTCCTCAGATTGTACAAACCCAAGATTAATCCCCCTCCACACACACACATCCTCATCCCTCTACTTCCATCCTCCCCCACCCTTGGATTGTTATATTCATTCTATAATAATGGTTTTATACAATATTTGTCCTTGTGGGACTGAGTTAGTTCACTCAGTGTAATGCTCTCTAGGCCCTCCCAGACTAGATAATAATTTGCAAAGTCATTGCTCCTGCATGCTACGTTGTATTCCATTGTGTTCATGTACCATAATTTTTCAATCCATTCAATTGTGGTTGGACATTGGCGTTTCCATGTTCTTGCAATGGTGAATAATGCTGCTATGAACATTGGTGTACAAGTCTCCATTTGTGCCTCAGTTCTCATTTTCTCAGGGTATAGTCCAAGCAGTGGAATTGCTGGGTCAAATGGAATTTCTATGTTCAGCTTTTTGAGGAAGCACCAAAATGCCTTCCATAATGGTTGTACCATTTTACAATCCCACCAACAATGCATAAGAGTTTGCCACATACTTCCCAAGATGTATTCCTTGCTGTCCTGTTAAACTTTGCAACTGTTACTGCAGTAAAATGGTATCATTGTAGTATTGATTTGCATCTCTCTTACAGCCAGTGATTTGGAGCATTTCTTCATGTGTCTGTTGGCCCCTTTAATATCTTCCTCTGTGAAAATTCTTTCCATGTCTTTTGCCCATTTTGTAATTGGGTTATCAGTCTTTTTCTTGTGAAAGCCCAGGAATATTCTGTAAACTGTATTAATGAGACTCTTGTGTGAGATGGAATTGCCAAATGTAAGTTCTCTTTGCACTTTGTGGGAAAAAGTTTTTGATACATAACAGGGATTTAATATTTAGAAGGTCCCATGCATCAATTTTGTCCTTTTCAGATTGTGTACTTCTGGCTGTATTTAGCAATCTCTTTATATTTTAGACTAGGACTTCTAAGCTTGATCCCAGTTTGTCTTTTAAGATCTTTGTTGTTTTGGGCTTTACTCCCAGGCCTCTGATTCATCTTGAGATGATTTGTGTGTGTGGGGTGAGATGTTGATCCAGTTTCAGCTTTCTGCAGGAGGAAGTCCAGTTTTGCCAGCACAATTTGTTGGAGGTGTTGTCACTTCCCCTTTTGACAGCTTTAATTTCCTTGTCAAATATCAGTTAACTATAGATAGCTGGGTCTATTTCTAGGTTCTCAATTCTGTTCCATTAGGCTATGTCGTTGCACCAGTATCAAGCTGTTTTGGTCTGCTATGCCTCCTACTTCATTTCTATTTCTCAGAAGTATGTTGCTTATTTGTGGTTTCTTTCCTCTCCAAATAAATTTGACCATTTAACTTCTGATCTCCTTGAAAAATGAATTTGTTATCTGGATTGTAGATTGCTTTTGGTAGAATTTGACTGTGAATTTTAGTTATAATTCCAAAAGCCCTGAATTGTTTGTGTGTTTGTATACAGAAAGTTAGGGATGGTCTAGGTGTTAATGTCTTCTGGCTGGGAGGGGGGATGTGTGTATGAGAGAGAAACAATAAGAAAAAGAATTAGACACACACACACACACACAGAGAGAGAGAGAGGATTGAGTTACTTACTGTAGGCCCTTAAGAAGAGTTTTTCCTTTAAAAAAATTCATGAAAATATACACAACAAAGCATATACTCATTTCACATCTACATATCAATACCATTATGTTCCCTTCTTTTTACCATTCTCACTGTCTCAACCCAGGTTGTTTTACCATGATTAACTTATATTTTATATGCCTTGAAAGTTTTCATTTGTGCTTTATAGTTGTCGATTTGATCTCATAGAAACAGTAATTTTTTTGCTGTTAATTTTTAACAACAGTGATTTGAGTGAAAGTTTACAAAGTATATTGGTTTTTTTATTCAATCCTTCATGCACATTTTTTGTAACATTACAATGCTCACAATGTAGTCACACTTTTACTACTTCTCCCTGTAATTCTCATTTCTATTAATTTGTATATCTTACTCCTTTCTACCTTCAGGGTTATATTCTTGAGTAAGTGCGACTCTTTTGATTTTATATTACTGTTGTTGAGTACTGTGTAATCAGAACTGACCATAGCTGACCTTCCAGTGGGGTTGGGTATTCTAAGGTCTGAGTGCTTCCTGATAGTACTTCTCACCTTACAGGCCTGTCTATTGTTTACCTTAATGTTGAGCTGGTGATAGGGAAGTGGGTATAAGTTTTGATCTGTGTTCAAAGGATAACTGAGAGCTAGTAGACTAGAGGGTTTCATCAGTCTCTGGACCAGTAATCCTGGTCTTTTTCTGGTTTCAGTCTTATTACACATTTTCCCTTACTCCCTCCAGAACCACCTTCTGTGATCCCTTACAGAGCAATCTGTAACAGTAGCTGCTGGTCTACGAGAAGACTTCTTGCACCAGGCTCCACACATTAGTTTTTTTAGAGATATATCACACAGTAGTTATGCAAATTATTGTTTCCAGACCATTCACTGTAAGTTGGGTATGAGCACAGGTTAAGCAGCAGAAGTAGATCAGTGGGAAGTGTTGAATCAAATAGCACCCCTAAATCATAAATGACATGAGATTGCCTCTACCCTACTTCTATTTTTCTCAAGGTTTAAAACAAGGAATATACTTAGTGCAATAGGAAATAAATGTCTTTTTAAATGTCTTCCAGAAATTGTATGAAATTTTGGAAACCAACAAGCGAGATGCTGTGAAAGAACTAGGTAGGTGGTAGGAGTATCTGATATTCTTAATTCACATTTTACTATTTCATCATTTAACCAAAGGAAATAACTTTCATTCCTTAGTTTTCTTTTGTTCATTGATTTTTCACTCCACAAGCTTTCATTGTGCAATTATGATGAGCTAGGTGTGATAAAGCAGAGATGGCTAGACATGGACCTTAAGCAGTGTAATCTGGTGGAGATATTATGGGCATATTAATATATAGGAACAGAATATTAGGAGTCTTCTTTGCACAGAGGACAGAATGAGGGGGAGTAGGGAAGATGTATTAAGGTAGCAAGGTCATGTGCCTTCAGGTTGCAAGAAACAAAAAAAATATGTAAAGGACTTCAACAAATGACTCTTTGATTTATTTTGCAAGAACTTTGTCAAAGTTCTTTGATTTGTTTTGCAAGGATACTTGGGACCTAATAAGGTTGCACAGGGAGTATTCCTGTTTCCCAGGAAAGGGGAGTGTAAGAGAAACATAAGAAATTTTGCTCCCTCTAAGATGTACAGCCTTGTAAAACTGATGGAGGATTGCCAAGGGAATAATTGACTCGTTGGCAGTGAACGGGGGTTTTCAGTAGAAGCCATTTTTTCTAATGTTCTCATCAGTAAAAAAGGAAATGAAATTTGTCATTGTTCCACTGGCCTCCCAGGTTTTGTGCAGATTAAAAGGATGCTCATGCAAATCCTGTAGAAACTAGAAACCATTCTACAAATATTCTTATTGTTGAATCAGTTGCTTACTAATGGCTTCATGTTTTTCAGGGCTCATAGAGCACGAGGGACGTGATGTTGTCATTGCTTTGAAGTCTAAGCAGGCAATCCAGAATGTGATTCTAAAAGCTCAGAAAAACCTCACCTTCCTTTGGTCAAGAGGTATTATTGATAAGCACGAAGGCATTGAGATGAATAAGGTAAGAAAGCGATTGCCTGTATCACTGTGTCTGCAGCCCAATCTCTTGAGCCCATCAGCCTAATACCCAGTTTGCATCATTACCTTGGTGCAGGTGTCAGGAATGAGCAAGATTAGAAAAAGAATGATTGATCTCAGAGGCTAAATCCACTTACTGCCCACACATTCTGTTAATTTGAATGGGAATTTGTATTCCTACATGGTGCACTCTATTAGGCAAAACTACATGGTTTTGAGTAATAGAAAACAACTTGCCTGCGCATAAGCAAAAACAAAAAAAAGGTTTGAGGGGTTAATGATAATGCCACAATATGGCTTACATAAAGAACCCAGAGAAAGCCAGACTGTATGATGAGGTCTCAGGAAAGGACAGACCAGGAACTTTCAAGCTTTTCTGTTTCCCCTCAGGGTTGCCCTCTGTGACACTTCCTTTAGCTCTGGAAAATGAGTATGTGCTGGAATATGTATTGTCCAGTTTCACTAACTCTTGTTAAGTGCTTTTGAGTCAAGTATGATTCATAGCAACCCTATGAACTACAAATCTGAATCCTCTCCTCTACTTTGCCGTTCTCATAATTTCTGACACAGTTGAGCCTGTTGCTGCAGTCATCATGTCAATCCATCTCGTTGAAGGCAATCCACTTCTTCTGTTGTTGTTATGTGCCGTCGAGGCGTTTGCAACTCTAGCCAACTGTAATTCCTTTGTAGTTGTTTTTACTATGTGCTGTAGAGTTTGAACTGACTCAGGTGACTGACCCTTCAGTGGATTTTCAGAGGCTTTAAATAGTATGAGGGGAGATTGTCCGTTTTTCTCCTGTGGACCACTGGTAAATCGTCAGAGGTACTGCCTTTGGATTAGCAGGACAGTTCCCTATAAACTATGCTACCAGAGCTCCCTCTACTTCATATTGAGTGAAAAATGGAAGTTGTGACTCCACATTCTGTCGTCATTACCCATTGATATATTCCTCCTGAGTGCCACATGCTGCTGCTTGTTGCTGGAAGCTCCCTGTCACAGACCACAATGTACTGTGTGTCTGTTTATTCCTGGGGAAGGATTTCCCAGTCAGGAAGGTAAGCATGGGCTTATGTATATTTCCTTATTAGTCTGTGGTAAGTAATTTCATGTGTTTTTCAAGATGTTGTGAAATGTTTTGATACAAATTAGTAAGTCAGAACAAGTTATCCTGTGTTTGCCTTCCTTACTGAGTCCCCTGCCACTATCAGAGGCTGTGCACTTGAAAAGAGATTGATATTCTGCTGGAAGAGGTTGTGGAGTTGGAAGAGAGACAACTCTGAAAGGCAGTTTGGTGCTTCCTCAAAAAGCTGAACATAGAAATTGTATATGACCCAGCTATTCCACTGCTTGGAATATACCCCGAGAAAATGAGAACTGAGGCTCAGAGACTTGTACACCAATGTTCATAGCAGCATTATTCACCATTGCAAGAACATGGAAATGCCAATGTCCAACCACAATTGAATGGATTGAGAAATTAGGGTACATTTACACAGCATGCAGGAGCAATGATTTTGTAAATTACTTCCTAACTTGGGAGGGACTGGAGAGTATTATGCTGAGCAAACTAACTCAGTCCCATAAGGGCAAATGTAGTATACAACCGTTATTGTCGAGTGAGTATGAGGATCTAAGGGGGTGGGGGAGTGGTGTGAAAGCAGAGAGGTGAGGATGGTTGGGGAGGGGGTATTAATCATAGGGTCATACAATTTGATGAATAGGGGTGTGTGAGAAGGAAATATCTAGTGTTAAAAAATGTATTCAAACTTTGTAAATAAAGCAATATAAAAAACAAAACTGTGAGATATCATCTCACCCTTTGCTTAATAGCAAAGTTAAACAAAGCAGCATACAACAAATACTGGTGTGGAAGAAATTGTGAACCCTTATTCACTGTTGGTGGGAGTGTAATATGGTGCAACCATTACGGAAGGCGATATGGCGCTTTCTAAAAAAGTTAGAAATAGAAATACCATTTGACCCAGCAATTGTACTACTGGGAATATATCCTAAAGAAACCAGAACTTCCAACCAAACAGACATATGCACACCTATGTTTATTGCTGCATTGTTCACAATAGTGAAGAGATGGAAACAATCCAAGTACCCATCAACAAACAAATGGTTAGAGAGCTGTGGTATATTCACATAATGGAATACTACACAACACTGAAAAGCAAGGAACTAATAAAATATTATACAAAATGGGTAACTCTGGAGGATATTATGCTGGGTTAAATATCTTAGTAACAAAAGGACAAATACTGCATAATGCCCTGTTATAAAAAACAACTGCCATGGGGGTTGGGGAGAAACTATGGAAAGAGGGGCTAAATAATGAACACTGCATTGAAACAGATGAAAGAAAAAACTGTTTAAAAGAAACATATGATTAGGTATTATTTGCACGACAACAGTTAAGAATAAGAGGTGCATAACAAAATGGACTGGGATGAGAGGAAGAGGGAAAATTGTGTAACAATGAAAGAAGGTTTTCTGTAAACTTTCATTAAAATATCAATAAAAATTTTTTTGAAAGTTAGTCATACCTGAAAATAGACTCTTTGATGTGTTGAAAAAAAATTGTGAAATTGTTAACTACTAATTAATAAGTAAGTAAAATTAAGCTTATGTTTACTGGCTTATTGGATAGTCTTACATTGGATTCTCTGGATACAGTTCCCTCTAATTAGTTCCAGAAGGCAAGTGATTGTAGAACAGAAAAGCTTTCTCATGCCTTTAGTCTCTAAAACACCATCACAAACACTTAAACAGGCAATACACTTTCTCCTTAGGGTCTGTGGGAGAGTAGAGCTACATTGCAATGTTTTTTAATCTATAGCTCCGCATGTATGTGCAATTTTGTAGCCTATTTTTTCAGTGATCACTTTGACTGTATAAGACTGAAAGGAATGAATAATACTCAAAGCAGTAATTGATCTTGTTGTTATGTGCCATCAAGTTGCTTGCAACGCATAAGGACCTTATGTATAACAGCTCTGAATTCTGTTCTACCCTGTGGCAACCTTATTTTCTCTGATACAAGTACCCTTATGACTCCAGTCACTAAAATGATCCATGTCATTGAGGGTCTTCCTTTCTTTCACTGTATCTCCACACTCCCAAGCATGATGACCCTCTCCAAGGACTGGGCCCTCCTTGCCCAAAGTATGTGAAACATTGACATCCTTGCCTCCAAGGAGCAGCCTGGTTTCACCCACTCTAGGACAAACCTGTTTGTTCTCCTAGCAACCCACTGGATATTCAAAAATCTTCTTGAGCACCACAGCTTAAAGACATCGATTCTCTTTCTATCATCCCTAGTCATTGTCTAGCTTTCTGATGCATAGCAAGTACTTGCAAAGACTATGGCCTGGATCAGGTGCACCTTAGTTTCCAGCCTGACATCACTGCTCTTCAGCACTCTGGAGAGGTCCCTGATAGCAGATTTTCCCAGTGCAATCTGCCTTTTGATTTCCTGACTGCTGGTACCAAGAGCATTGATTGTGGAGCCAAGCAAACTAAAGCTGTTAACAATCTCAGTCTCTTCACTATCATGATGCTGCCAATCAGTAAGAATCTTTGTTTCCTGATGTTGAGCTTCAATCCATATTTAAGGCTTGACTTTCTGCAGCTCTTCAGGTCCTCCTCAGCTTCAGCAAGCAGGGTTGTTTCATCTGCATGAAGCAGAATACTGATTCATCTTTCTCCAATTCTGATGCCGCATTCCTCCTCTTAGAGGCCAGTCTCCCTGTAAAATATTCTGCATATAGATTTTAAAGGTATGGGAATAGGAGACATCCCTGGCATAAACCTTTCCCAATTTTGAAGAGAATAAATGAAAATGTCACTATAGTGCAATATATTATAATGAAATGTGCAAAGAATTGGAGTCAGAAAATAAAAAGGGATGAACTCACTTCGCATTTCTTAAACTGAAGGAACTAAAGAACGAAATCAAGCTTTTGGTTGCAATACTTAAGGTTTGAGGGCCTAAACATTAAAGAACAGATTAATGATCAGATGAACTATGGAAAATATCAAGAATATCATCCATGAAGAATGCAAAAGGTCATTACAGACACAGGAAGAAAAAACCAAAATGGATGTCAGAAGAGACTCTGAATATTGCACTAGATTGCTGAGAAGCCAAAGTAAAGGAAAGAAATCAAGAAGGTAAGGAGCCGAATAGAGGATTTCAAGATTTCAAAGGGCAGTTTGGGAAGACAAAGCAAAATATTATAATGAAATGTGCAAGGAATTTGAGTCACAAAATCAAAAGGGCCAAACTCGCATAGCATTTCTTCAAGAGAAGGAATTGAAGAATTAATTCAAACCTTAAGTTTCAATACTTAAAGACACTATGGGCAGAATACTGAATGATCCAGAAAGCATTATGATGGAAGGAGTATACAAAGTTATTCTACCAAAAAGAATTGACTGGTACATAAGAATTTAATGAAATTACATGTGATTAAGAGGCAGTGGTGATGAAAGATGAACTTCAGGCTGCTCTGAAGGAATTAGTAAAAAACAAGTTCCCAGGAATTGATGGAATACCAACTGACATATTTCAATAAACAGATGCTGCCCTGGATGTGATCACCAGGTTGTAGCAAGAAATCTGGAGGACAATTATCTGACCAACTCACTGGAAGAAATACATATTTATTCCCATTCTAAAAAAAAAGGTCACCCAACAGAGTGTTAAAACTATTGAACAATATACACTATCAAAATCCTGCTGAAGATTATCCAAAACTGACTGAAACAGTACATCAACAGAGAACTACCAGAAATATAAACTGGATTTAGAAGAGGCCATGTCACAAGAGACATTATTGCCAATGTCAGATGGATCTTGGTAGAAAGCAAAGAGTACCAGAGAAATGTCTACCTGTGTTTCATTGACAAAGGAAAGACATTTGACTGTGTGGATCACAACAAATTGTGGCTAACTTTGAGGAGAATGGGAATCCCAGAACACTTGATTGTGCTTATGTAAAACCTACACTTGGACCACGAAGCAGTCTTTAGAACAGAGCAGGGAAACCCTGCATGCTTCAAAATCAGGAAGGGAGTGCATCTGGGATGAGTCCTGTCTCCCTTACTTTTCAATCTATATGCAGACAGATCATTTGGGAGGCTGGGCTTTATGAGGAGGAATGTGGCATCATGATTGGAGGAAGACTCATTAACAATCTGCTTTGATGATACAACTTGGTTTGCTGAAACAGAGGAGGACCTGAAGCACTTACTGCATAAGGTCAAGGACTGTAGTCCTTAATATGGGTTGAAACTCAATACTGAAGACAAAGATTCCCACCACTGGGCCAGTTGGTAGCATTATGATAGACGGGGAAGAGATTGAAGTTGTTAACAACTACAGATTGCTCAGCTCCAGCAGTCAGGAAATCAAAAGGCGAATTGCACTGGGAAAATCTGCTGTCAGGGACCTCTCCAGAGTAGAGTACTGAGAAGCAAGGATGCCAGTCTAGAGACTAAGGTGATCCTGATCCAGGCCAAGGTGTTCACAATTACTTCCTATGCACCAGAGAGAGCTGGACAATGAGAGAGCTATGAATGACAGAAGAATCAATGCTTTTAAGTTGTGGTGCTGGAGAAGAGTTTAGATCATGGACTGCCAAGAAAACAAATAGGTCTGTTTGGAGAGGGTGAAAGCAAGTTTCTCCTTGGAGGCTAGGATTTTGAAGCTCTGGCTTACATACTTTGGGCCTGTGGCCAGGAGGGACCCATCCTTGGAGAAGGGCATCATGCTCGAAAAGAAGAGAGAACAGGAGAGGAAGACCTCAGATGAGATAGAATGATACAATAACTAGGGAGGCAGAAGTGTTGGAGTCAGTGAGACTGGCTTAGGATAGGACAGTCTTCAGAGCTGTTGCACTTGAAGGCACCTAACTACAAAAGTCAACTGTGCAGTTTATAAAAATTGAAATTAAGACAAAGTAAAGTAAAAGTCAGGTTTAACTCGATTATAGAAATAACAGATTCAATCTGAGTTAATAACCAAGGAAAATAAATGAAAGAGGAGAATCAATGCCAAAAATTTTTGATTCTTTGAATGGGGTGAGAGAAGCTGTGTGTGATAATCAAGGTTAAATTTGCATAACAGTAGACTCTAAACACAGCAAAAGCAAATCTGATCACTAGGGTTTTTTTTTAATTTAAATTTTAATATATTGATTATTAGACTTAAATCTTTAGAACCATTTTAAGTTCACAGGGAAAACAACTGTACAGTAAGGGAGAGTTTTAAAAATCCTTCTCACATTCAGTGTCTCCTGTTAGAAATACATTATATTAGAATGACATACTGATTACAATTAATAAACCTGATATGTTCTTAGTGACTAAAGTCCATAGTCCATTCAACTAGTCTTCTCTTTTTATCTCATGTCCACTTTGTGTTCCAGGATCTGACACTATTACTTTGATTGCTTTTAGGTACTTCTTAAAAAAATAAAAGCACTGAATAATTTCCCAATGGCAATACCACCTCCTACTCCTGACAAATATCTTCATAACATCATTTGGCTGGAAAATAAAGATGTTCTTATTGAGTTTTTCAAGGTAATGTTTCCACCTTCTATTCTGGTTCAAGTTTGATGAGAATTATTTTAACTTCTTTTCCATTCCTTTGTGCAAGATGAATAGAAATGCATAGGGCAAGGTACAAATTCTATACAGGTCACAGTGCAAGATAAAAAAAAAAAAGAAGCACCAAAAAAGTCCAGAATCTCCTTGCACTCCTCAATGCATCAGAACTATGCACAGTTTTAGACTTTGTCTACACTTTATAAATATTTAAATTTTTTAGTGTTCCATTCAAGAATATGGAGTCCCTGGTGATGTGAATGATTAAAATTCTTGACTTCTACCAAAGAAGTTGGTAGCTCCATTCTATCCAGAGGCATCTTTGAAGAAATCCATGCTATGTACTAAACAAACAGCCATTGAAATCTCTCTGGGGTACAGTTATACTATGATACACATGGGGTCACCTTGAGCAAGAGTGGACTCAGTAGCAAGTGGTGGTTGGTTCCTTAATTGGAGTGGTTCTTAATAACACCTTTTAAAAATGGCATGGTGGTATCTGACCTCTCCTAATTCCAAGGGGAGGAGAATCACCATTAATATCAACCCAAGGCTGATTCCTATGAGGCAAAAGCAGACATCTCCTCTCTTCAACCTTTTTATCATTTGTAACACCAGCTGTCCTGCCCGTGGTACTTGTACTTCACTGCAGGATTTTTAGATTTATTGCAGTGGTCACATAGTTTGCACAGGCCCTCCTCATAGTTCTGAGGTTTCTTAGCCAAGTCACAATTACTATTCAGGATCAGCATCAACAGGCTACAGCTTGGAACCAGGATCAGGAAGGATGTAAGCAAAGCCATTCTTCAGTGCAGGAGCATTCTCTTAGTTCTCTTGACCAGGTAAGTTGTCCAATTAATCTCCTGAGGACCAGTTCCCTTTGGCTTTCCTAGGACAGACTCCTCTTGACTCCCTCAGTAGAGACACTTTCTCTTAGATCTCAGGCTCTCAGTCTGGCCTCTGCTCTGCTCTACAAGCATTACAAAACTCTTTATGCCTAATGTTTGGAGACACCCCACTCGACCAACAAGTTTCTTGCCCACAGGCACTAAGCTCTCTTTCGTGGGTCAGCACACTCACTACAGTTGCTTCTCTTGGTGGACTACAGAAACCACTGTGCCAGCTCCTGCTCAAAACTCAAACTCATTTCCATTGCGTTGGAGTTAGCGCATAGCTGACACTCCAGTAGGTTTTTGGAGGCTATACATTACCATGGGAAAGCCTGCTGTTAGGGACCTCTCCAAAGTACTGAAGAGCAATGGTGTCTCTCTGGAGACTAAGGTGCATTTGATACAGGCCATGGTCTTCGCAATCACTTGTTATGCATCAGAGAGTTGGACAATGACCAAGGAGGATAGAAGGAGAATTGATGCCTTTGAGCTGTGGTGCTGGAGAAGAGTTTTGAGAATACCATGGACTGCTAGGAAAACAAACAGATTCGTCCTGGAAAGGGTTAAACTGGGTGGCTCCTTGGAGGCAAGGATTCTGAGGCTCCGTCTAACATACTTTGGACATGTTGTGAGGAGAGACTGGTCCTTGGAGAGGGACATCATGCTTGGGAGGGTGGAGGGACGGCGCAGGAGCGGAAGGCCCTCTATGAGGTGGATTGATTTAGTGACTGGGATAATTGGGATGGGAGTGTCGGAGATAGTGCGTTTGGCACAGGACAGAGCAGAGTTTAGGGCTGTTGTACATAGGGTCGCTATGAGTTGCAAGCAATTCAACAGCACATAACAACAACAACAACAAACATACATCCCAAACTTATCTTTTTCCTCTGGAGTTACAGGTGGATGAAGATTGCCAGAAAGGTACCACTTTTCTGGTTTTGCTACTACTGCTTCCTTGCCAGTTGGCTCTGCTGTACTTCCAGCATTTCTTGCTGTTTTGTCACCTTCCCTGGTGTTTTAGGACTCTTGTTTCCTGGGTTTCAGAGGTTGTTAGGACCCTTGATGGCCCACTGAAGAAAGTCTACTGGAATAGTTCCACCACAAACAAGATTCAAGAAGAATCAGATATATGGAAATAAGAGAATGAAAGAAACAGAAGATGCTTACTAGTGAGTCAAGTGGAATGTGTAGTGATGATTTTCATAAAGAAAGTTAAAGAAATTATTGGAGGCCAAGGCATGAAATTTCTGGAATATTGGAAGATTATTTTCTTAAGAACAAGAAACTATGACACTAACATGCTAGACAGACGGGAGCCACAGTAGTTACAAAGAACTATATCTTGAAAAATTCAAAACAGTAATGATCAGCAAGGTGATTAACAATGGAAATAAACAAACAAAAACATCTTCCCAGAGAAAATCAATTCTCTATGGAGTCCTGCTAACAAAAGTGAAAGAAATCTCTCTGTCTCTGTCTCTGTTTCTCTCTCTCTCTCTCACACACACACACACACATGCGCGCGTGCGTGCGCACACACACACACACACACACACACACAGCAGAAAAAATGTTCACACAGAAAAACCAGAAGAAAAGCAAACAAGAACCTGTAAATATAAAACAGATTCCTCAGGTAAGATCTCAGAAGAATCGATGCTCCCAGTACCAGGAAACAAAACAATCACATAAGTGCAATGGGGGGTGGTGGTGTGGGGGTTCTGGGTGTGGGTGAGTCCAGGAAAAGTCTCTCAAAAAACCTGCTTTGTTCTTCTGGTCAGAAAGCACTTAATCTAATGACTTAGCATCCAGCAGTTCTGAGGACAGCCAGGAAGCGAAACTAAAGAAAACAACAGAAAAAAAGATGTTTTAAAAGTTCATATCCTCCTCGCAACAATGAAGTACAGGAAAGAACAAAGACAAGCACAAATTGGAAAGTGGCTACAGATGAAAGTTCTGCCGAGGACGTTCAGAGGACGACTGAATGAAAACCTCCATTCTTCAGGTTGCCATGTGACTTTCCACATGCACAGCCCTAATGTGCTGGGGCTTTGCCAGTGACTCTTGTTCAGAACAGGAGTTTGAAGGCAGAGTTGACTAGTGCCATCTACGCATGTCTTGACAGACTTATATTCTGGCCTGTTAAACTTGACTCCCTTTCATAGTTAATAGAGAAATCTGGTCTTTTGTTAAGGCTTTCTCTCTCTTGTTGCCATTGGATTGGAACCCACCCTGCAGCCTCTGATAACCTGCTGACTCTCCAGTAGGTTCTCAGAGGCTGTAAATATCACGGGAAGGGATTGCCCATCTTTCTTTCAGGGAGTCAATGGTAAATTTGAACCACCAGACAGGTGCTGCCTTTGGGTTAACGCTGCTACTCCCTAGGGGAGGATCCTTGAAAAGGTTATTTGTTTGCAATTAATCATACTTAGCTTAGAATTTGTTCTTGTAGTACCAGATCTCCTGATTGAAACATTAAAATACCCAGAAATCTGCCCCTAGTAAAATCCTAGTCAAACCTGTTGGAATATTGAATTTGGAGAAAACAAGGGCTGTGCTCCAAAAGTGGTGAGTAGAATGATATGACTAGGGAACAGTGACTTATGCTCTTGTCTTTATTTAGGAAGAAAAAAAGATACCTGTTTTCCAGCTTACTACTCTCATCTTTCTGTATTATGCCCCCACAGGTGTGGGCTAGTTTACTAAATTAATAAATGGACTTATGAACCAAGCGTCTTCCTTGCTAACATCTGTTATTGTTGTTTTTACCATCGAGTCATCTTCTACTCACTGTAACCCTATCTATGAACAAGAGATCTAAACTCTGCCTTCCTGTGCTCATCAGCAGACAATACCAGAAAAAAAATGCTTACTTGTGTTTTATATATTGACTATGCAAAGGCATATGACTCTGTTGATCGTAACAAATTATAGGTAACATTAAGAATAATGGGAATCCCAGAACACTTAAGTTTTTGTGCTCATGTGAAACCTCTATGTAGACCAAGAAGCAGTTGTCAGACAGAACACAGAGAACAGAACAGGACAAAGGAATACCACATGATTTCAAATCAGGACAGATATGAATCAAGGCTTTATCCTTTCTCCATACCAGTTCAGTCTGTTCACTGAATAAATGATTTGAGAAGCTGAACTATATGAAGAGTGATGTAGCTAATGCTGGGAGGAAGACACATCAACACTCTCCATTATGCAGATGACACAACCTTGCTTGCTGAAAATAAAGAAGTCTTGAAGCACTGGCTGCAGAAGATCAAAGACGACAGCTTTTAATATGGTTACATATCAACATGAAGAAAACAAAAATCTTCACTACTGGACCAGTTGGCAACATTATGAGGGATGGAGAAAAAATAGAAGTCAATGGTTTAATCTTACTTGGAATAACAATCAGCATTCATGATAGTAACAGTCAAGAAACAAAAAGTCATGTTGCATTGGGAAAATCTGAAATCAAGGACCTCTCCAAAGTGCTCAATAGCAAAGAAATCAGTTTAAAGGCTAAGTACACCAGATGCAAGCTATGGTCTTTTCAGTTGCTTGCTAGGCATCTGTAGTTGGATAGTGACTATGGATGACAAAAAGAAGAATCACTGCCTTTGAATTATGGTGTTGACAAAGAGTTTTGAATACTCATCGAAATGCCAAATGAATAAATAAGTCTATATTGGAAGAAGTGCAACCATGTTGCATCTTAAATGCAGGGATAGTGAAATGTCATCTTACATATTTTGGGCACATTATTAAGAAAGGCCAGTCCTTGGAAAAAGAGAGCATATTGGGAAAGGTGAAGGGTCAAAGAACGAGACCTCAAGAAAATGGTTTGACATAGTGACTATAACAATGTGCTTGAGCATGTGAATGTGAGGATGGTATACACAGGTTACGTTGCAAAGCTCAGATCTGTTTTCATAGGGTCACTATGAGTTGTAGTTGACTCAAAGGCACATAACAACAAGAAATATAATTGGGTAATTTTGTAGCATTTTCTAGTTCCATTGCTGGTTATCATCGAAATCGAAATGGACTTGTAGTTGCAATTCTTCCTAAAGTTCTTAGAGAGTT